GGTTTAATTAGTTTTAACAAACAAAATACAGGTCGTTATAATTTCTGGAAATTTTGGAAAAAAAATCCCAAAAATTTGAATTTCAAATTTTCGGATTTCAGAAAAATATATATAAAGCAAAATTTCTGAGAACGCGTTACCAAGGAAACGGGTTTTAAAAAAGCGAAAATTTGGAAAAATATGGATTTAGGAAAATAGAAATCCCTACGAATGGAAATTTGAAAAATCACTACTAGTTGAAAAATCGCTCGCTACAATCGGGGAAGGACGATTTTTCGAGATTCGGGTTTTTTTTTAATTTTTGAAAAATTAATCGAAAAGTTTTTTTTTCCAAATTTCCATTTAACTTTCAATGTGTCGAATTTGCAGAGAGTATTTTTGATTTCTTCCTTTATGACATCTCTCCTACTCGGAAAGTACGCTCCCATCGATAAAACTGATAGTAGTGGAATGAATCTAATGGATGTTCAGGTACCGTAATCCAAGAAAGACTATCTCAAACTCGAATTGTTAAGAATGAGCAATGGCATCAACCACTTTTGAATTTCATCGCATCGGATTTAGGAGAAAAATTAGGAGATCCAGTAGATTCGATGTGTGTTTTGGTGAGTTTTCCGAGTTTTGGAATATAATAAATCCGAAAATATCAACGTTTTAGGGATCTGTTAATTCCTATTGGACCAACAAATACGGGATTCCTTCCAGCTGCTTAATTCTTCCATTCCTAGGAGATAATCCGTGTACGTTACCGTACCTGCCCACCTAACTGAGTCAGTTAGATGTGCAGGTTCTAGAAATTACTGTACCATCTCTCTTTACAGCTTCCCTTGCCGGACTTGCCCTTCTTCCGATTGATATTGGAATATCAATGGGCACGAGTGATACCGTATTCTGCTTCTCTCCAGAATTCAAGCCAAATCCAGAAGCTCACGTCTTCTGTCATTTTGCTCCGAATTCGGGATACATGGCAATGGTTTGGTAATAGGACAAACAGACACACATGTAGACTTTTTGAAAATAAAATTTCAGTTTCAAAAATGGGTCACATACTCGAGAAAGAGCTCGTAAATTGAATGGATGTCCATGGGAAGATTGGGAGAAAGTGATGAAAAAGACGCCGATTGGAAACGATGGATACATTGGATTCTTTTTTGATGACGATGAAATTGTACCGAGAAAACCGAAAGGAGATTATACGTTCGAAATAGAAAGTGAGGAATTGAACAGAAATCCAGAGGTAATAAAGTTTTCAAAAAAATTTTCGTTCCGAATTAATTCATGACCTAATTTTTCTATGCCATGATCTAATTTCTCTGGGTCATGACCTAATTTTTCTGGGTCATAACTTCATTTTTTCTAGATCATGGCCTTATTTTTCTGGGTCATGACCAAATTTTTTTGGGTCATGACCAAAATGTTTCTAGGTGACCAAATTTTTCTAGGTTACGACCTAATTTTTCTATGCCATGATCTAATTTCTCTGGGTCATGACCTAGTTTTTACTAGGTCACGACCTAATTTTTTCTAGGTCATGACCTAATTTTTCTGGGTCATAACTTCATTTTTTCTAGGTCATGGCCTTATTTTTCTGGGTCACGACCTAATTTTTTCTATGCCATGATCTGATTTTTCTGGGTCATGACCAAATTTTTTTGGGTCATGACCAAAATGTTTCTAGGTGACCAAATTTTTCTAGGTTACGACCTAATTTTTCTATGCCATGATCTAATTTCTCTGGGTCATGACCTAATTTTTACTAGGTCACGACCTAATTTTTTCTAGGTCATGACCTAATTTTTCTAGGTCATAACTTCATTTTTTCTAGGTCATGGCCTTATTTTTCTGGGCCATGACCTAATGTTTCTAGGTCACAACCTATTTTTTTTATAGATTATGATCTGTTTTTAGATATCTAGAATTTTGGAATTATAGGTCACGGGCTAATTTTTTGGGAATATAGTTCATGGTCTAGTTTTGTAAACTTTTTTTTGGAAAATCCGAAATTCCAGAAATTCGCTCGTGCCGTTTTCGAGAGCCAGTGCTTCTTCAAACTCTTCTACACCCAAAAAATGGGATTCCAAAAATCCACGTCATCTCGAATCGTTGTAACTGGAGGAGGTTCTCGGAATACGTCACTTCTTCAGATGCTTTCCGACGTCTTCGAAATGCCCGTTTACAGTATTGAAGTTGATGGATCTGCCGCGTTGGGTGGAGCTATGAGAGCCAGATACTGTAAGTGACGTCTACTGAATCCCATCTGAATTGTTTTTTCCAGTGCTCTCCAAGACATCTATGTCCTATTCCGAATATTATCCATGTGACAATGTGGAACTTCAATGCAAACCGATCCCTGGAAATTCTGAAATTTATCGAGTTCAATTCGAGGCGTTCAAAAATCGTTTGGACGCATTCATCAAGGAAAATTGATAATCTTTTGGGACAGAAAAAAAGGGGGTGCAAATAAAAATTACTGAATAAAAATGCTTGAGAAAATGAGACAAAGTGACTAGGTGGGGAGGACTAAAAACAAAGAAAATGTACATTTGAAAAAGGGTCTTGAAGGGAAAATGAAAATTATGTTTACCGGTTTTTCGAGGATTTTTTCGAAGGAAGGGGGAAGAATATAAAATTACATAAAAAGAGGTGGATGAGAGGGAATGATCAAAAATTTTGTGAATTTTGGGACAACTGGGGAAAGTAAAATTAGTTTTTGATATCAAAATATAAACGAAAAAATAAGATTTTCACGGATCTGGTGTTGCGAATGAGGTGACAATGGCGAGGATGTTCGTGTAGACACCAGCGATGATGGCAAAGCATCCGATGGCGATAACGACGCAGTTGATGAAAATCTTGAACATCCGTTGACGATGGGTTAGGAGACCCTGAAAATAGACAAAATGTTTAAACTGCAATTTTGGAACTTCGAAATTTAAAAAATCTGGATTCCAGAATTTTAAAAGCTCGTTGGAATTGTTACTTCTTGTTGAGATCATTGAAAAAATTGATTTTGCATTTTTTTTCAAATTTTAGAAAATTCTTGACCTTGTTTTGAAATCCTTCAAAACTTGATTTTGTAGATTTTTTAGAGTTCTTGAACTTTTTGGATTTCCAGATTTTTTTAGTATTTTTTGATTTTCATAAAATCTGAAATTTCAGATTTTCAAAATTCCAGATTATTGAAATTCAATTTTTTTCTGGTTTTTCAGAAAAACTGAATTTTCAAATTTTCAGAATATCCACTTTGAAAATTGTGAATTTCAGTTTTTCCGAATTATTTGAAAATATGTTTTCCGAATTTTCGGATTCACGAAAGTCCAATTTTTAGGAAAATAGAAATTAAAGAATCTCAACGTTAGAACCTCAGAATAAATAGGATAAATTGAGAATCCATGAATTTGAAGACCCAAAAATCTGTTAATCTCTGAAAATTCAAATGTCCTATACTTCGAAAAACCCCTTACCTTCCAATCAGTCCAAAAAGTGATCATCTCGAAAACTGGCGGGAAAATGAGTGCACAAAGTGTTCCACTAGTAACTCCAACCAACGGAATCATAATCTCCAATTTCGGAATCAAAACAGCCATCAAGTACGTCACCAAGACCCAGAAGATACGGAATCCTTTATCTGATAACCATTTGGGAACATTCGGAAATCTCGCACCGAACTTCCGACGGAATCCATTGAAGAACATATCATAGACTACATACATGGCAATGGAATTTCCAAGAAGAGATTGAAGCATCAAGAAGACGTTGACAGTCGAATAGAGACCCTCTTTCGGGACATTCGTTGTGATCGTTGGGGCGATTGAATCACCGAATCCAGTATATCCAAAGAATCCGAGAGCAGTCATGAATGCAGTACAAATCATCATTGTAGTGGAAAGAACTCCAAATGGGGCGAGGAATGCGGCTGGGTTATCGAGTTTGTTTTCGATTGGAAGGATCATTGTTTGACCTTCAAATGCATACATACTCATTCCGATCATTGTGATTGTTCCAGTGAAATTCGTAGATGCAGGCAGCTTATTCCATTGATTTGGTTGTCTGGAAATTGAGGATTTCTTTTGCTATTTTAATGAGAAATCGTCTATTCCCAACTGGTTCCAAAAACTCACTGAATAGTAAACTGCATGATTACAGCCGCTCCAATAACAAAGAAAACCGACGAAACCAGTGCGAAAAACGATACAATTCTCATTTCTGTGAACATATTTGTCAATAAAATGAAGAAAAGGGATACGGTAGCCATCAGAATCATCTGCTGATGACGGGTGCCTCCCAAATGGTCTCCAACCAAATTAACAAGATTATCCGAGATGAAAAGAATCGCTACACTGCACATTCCCAACTGATAAAACAATATTGTCACATTGACAAAGTACCTGAACGTCGAGATTATATAGGTTAAGTGCCTATAAAAAACTCACATGACTCCCTTGCTGTTATTTCTCAAAAATCGAATATCACTGTAATCGCACACCTTCTTCGCAAAATGACCGTAATCCAGTGCACTTCTGTCGGACTTCTTTGCGAGATGTTGACTAGCACGAACCAGAATGTAATTACCGTACCAATTGAGACCGGCGATTACAAATGACATCACGAAGGAGACCCAAAGTCCTCCGAGTTTCCAGGCGTACGGTAGGGAGAAGCAACCCGCGTTGAACATCGATTTGGACAGCGTTAGGACCGCTCGGGTGGGCCTGGAAAGTTTTCAACTTTTAGTAAAAATTTTGATCCTGAATTTCCCATATTGGTACAAAAATCGGTGCTTTGGCTGTACCCGAAAGTCCCACAACGACAACTACCGTAACCTAAACATAACATCGTTTTCAGAGTTCCATTTCCAAAATATTCTTACTGTAGTTGTCCTCGTGGGACCTTTTTTGTACCAGTCTACTAATTTACCTCGCAAAAACTCACGTAATAACATCGCCGCTTCTCGCCGGCGGTTGCACCAGCGCCCTTCCATCGTTCATCGATTCTGCATCCCCGTCGACCGTCACCGCCCGCTCACGGCCTTCCTCCTCACTCATCTAGGTCTGAAACTCAAGATTAGGAAAACTGAAAATCGGAATAAAAAAGCAAGAATGAAAGATAAAAATGAGTCAACAACTCATTCAAAGCAAAACCAAAATAAATGACAAAAAATCATAAGGCGAGTGTAGTAAATATTTATGTTTAAGAAAGTCAAAAAGTTCCAAAAATTTCCACAGGAATCAAAATGCTTATGAAGAAACGATGGCTCAATTGAGAAGGAAAACGCGAGTTCCAGAGCAGAATGTCGCTTTGACGTCGACGTTCTCATCAATCAAAACGAAATCGGCCAGGCTTCCCACATCCAATGTTCCTTTTTCGCCGGTTACGCCGAGAAGTGTTGCTGAAAAACGGGGAATATTTGAATTGTCCAAAATGAGTTACCCTAAAACCTGTATTAGAAAATAAGCGTCTAATTGAAGGACCCCTGCAATAGAAGGGCCCTTCTAATACAGGTTTCACGGTACTTAAGGGCTAAAGCACTAACCTGGTTTATGCGTGGCACTCTGCAATGCGAATTCAATTGAACACCCAGTAGCTTTCATGAGATGTCGAATACAATATGGCATACTGGCAACACTTCCAGCCGTTGTATTCGTTCCATCCAATTTCGCTTCGAGACCTTTCACATGGATAGTTTGGGTACCCAATCGATGAACACCATCTGCCATACCAAGTGCAGCAATTGCGTCCGTGACCAGAACAAGACCATCCGCATGAGTATGGTAGGCGATTCGGAGGGCGGAGTCATGAGTGTGGATTCCATCCGAAATGATTCCGTAGTAGAGAGGATGATCAGAAGAGACGTTTGATGAAGTTAGAAGGCCGATAAGTCCAGGGTCGCGGTGGTGGTACTGGAAAAATTGCAAATTGCAATACACACAAATTTCAGCTGATTTCAGTCTAGCTCAATTTAGCTCAACTAACCGATTGCATTGCATTAAACAGATGAGTGATCATCCTGGCGCCCGACATCACAGCCATTTCACCTGGTCCCAATTTTGCCGAAGAGTGTCCCACGGATACTGTAGTTCCCCTCGAAACAAAATATTCTATCGCTGTTTGAGCTCCTTCAAGCTCTGGAGCAATTGTGACAATTGCGATGTTTTCAGTACTGCCATAGACATTTTCAATAGTTTCAGCTGGATTCGATCCAAATGTAGTGATGACGAGTTGCTCCGGATGACATCCCCGTTTGTTGGCACAGATGAATGGACCTTCGAGATGGGCTCCTGGAATATTTTGTCTGAAGTCGTTTATGTTGAAAAACCAATTTTAGACGCCTATAGGTTATGATGGATTTTTAGAACTTCCTATTAGGAATTCCTAAAAATATTAAAATAACAAGAAAGAAAGAGTAATTAGTTGCCAATTGTCGTCTTGCACTTGTTCATACTGTCTCACCTTATCAGTTCATTAGATAAGACAAAAAGAAGGCAAATATAGCAAGAAGAAGATGCTAACAGAAAATTCCGCCACATTTGAAATCCTCTCTATAGGGCTCTCGTGTTTGATCAGATGTCTTTTTTATTAAAACGAAATTTCAAAATTCTTCAAATGACTCACCAAGAATTCCAGCACCGTCTGGTGAGGCTTTCGAACGTTTCAGAAGTGGTAGAACCTGAAAAAAGGGAATGCTTAGGAATAGAAAGAACATCAAATAAAAAACAAGGGAGATGCAAACAAAGAGGAAACTGGACAGGCAGAAGGAGGGAGAGAGTTCAAACGTCCGTTCAGCTTTATGGTTTTTTATGATGAAACAAATCGATCAGGCGGGAGATGGGGATGTTTAACTGCCTGTGTACTCTCTCCATAAACTAGTCTCTCACTCTCTCTCTTCTGTATTCTGTGAATATAAATTGAACAATCCACGTTCGAAAATATGTGTTGGTGGTTTGTGTGGGGAGGGAGGGAAGGAAAGTGCGGTGGTGGTGGGAGAGAGAAGAATAGGGCGGAGGTGGTTGGTTAGGAGACACTGTGTGTGACTGTGTCGTTGATGACTGCGAATGAATAAGAAAAAGAGGAATGGTTAGTCATCTGGAACAGAAAAAAAAAGAAAAAGCTAAGAAATTTCGGGAAAAAACGGATAAAATCTTGATAATTTTTGGAAACGAAGTGTTATTTGTTTAAATTTTTACTTTACAGAAAAAATCGTTTAATTTCTTTAAATTCCCAATAATAATCTTGAAACTTCCTAAAAGAATTTGAATTTTAAAATTATATGGAAATCAGTTGAAAATACAAAAATGACATATAAATCGGAGCTTTTTTTTAAATAATATAAGTTGAATAAAACATGAAATTTGACATATTTATAAGTTTAAATAGAGATAAAATACTCCACATCCACAATTTTTATGCTACTTTTTGAAGTCGACCTCGAAGTTATATATTAAAAATCACACAATGGGAAGATCCAGAAACTGTCCCGAAAAGCAAAGCAACACCAAACACGAAAAAAAATGAGAAAAAGGCTGGGTCTCCGGTCGAAAAACGAGACGAAAACAAACTCGACGAGATGAGAGAGCATGCATGCGGGAGAGACGCAGAGACATTGGTCAGTGAAAGGAACGGGATAGACAGAACAAAAAGTGATCGGAAGAAAGAATGATTTATTCGATTCAGTGAAAGGATAACATAAAGGAAATGAAACATTACCTTGTGATAAGTTTCTGGCGAACTAGTGATGACTGTGGGTGCGAAACTGGTGACTCCATGTGAGAGAAGCTGTTTCGCAACGGATTCCAGTCCCGCCTTGTATTCATCATCGTTCGAGTTATAGGTGGAGAAGTCAATTCCAAAACCACCTGAAATTTCAAATTTCGTTCTAAATTTCAAACTTAGTGTAGTTAACCATTCAATTGAACATCAATGAATCCTGGAGAAAGAATCAATCGAGAGCAATCGACCTAAAATATTCGAATTTGTTTAGAAAAACAACCTTCACCCACTTGCACATCAGCCATTCGTTTCTCCTCGAAAAACACTGTTCTTTCATCCAAAATTCGCCCATTACGAACCCAAATATGCTCTTTTTTGAGACCATCTGATCGGAGCACCGAGCAGTTTACGAATTGGAACAATTGATTCGGCAGAATGGACTCATTGAGCACTTCAGAATCAAACTTGACACGCCTTGGCTGATGCATTATCACGGGCAGTACGAGACGAAAGGGTTAGAGATGGACAGAATGCGGGAGCATGGAAAAGTGGGGGAATTGTGCAATACTATCTTATCAGAATTGATCGATGGTTGGCGGAGAGCAGTGGAACGGTGGTGGGAAAACGAAAACAAAGAGATTTTTAATAATAGAAAGAAAAAGAAAAGTATAAAAAATTGTTGATATGATTAAAAACAAATATGATAAGCAAAGAAATGCACTATACTCTCTTAGAAGAACATCACTGAAGAAATCAAGAAAAAAGAACAAGATTTATAAAAGAGAAGAATCATTTGATGACTTTGGTACGGGAATAGGACACATCCACGGTCTGAAAATTATAAATTTTATATTTTGAATTCCGGAATGCCTGAAACCTTAGTGAGCTCACGAATAGTTGTGAGAGCCCGAGTGAATTGCTTCGTGGCTCCAGCCTTCGGATAGATGACGACGGTGTCTCCGTGTTGGTCGATGCTCCTGCAAAACGATAATTGGTCTTGACATGAGTTGCCGCCGATTCCCATTACGACTCCCATGACAACCGCGCCTCAACGTCTTCTTTTTCTACATATTCTTACCCCATCAGTTTCTTGTCCAGAATCATTCTCGCAATTGCTTTCTCGGTGGGCGGGACGGTCATTCCGATGACTCTGGCTATGTAGGAAAGCTCAATTTCTGAGTAGGGCTCAATGACACGAGAGATTTCCTAAAACTCCTTTTTTATTACCTCGGTGGCCACTCCCCTCTCCTAACTACCTTCTCTAGCATAGTCCTCTCGAGATTTTGAGAATGCACGGCGACGACTTTATCCTCAACCAACTCCTTTTTATGTTCTTCCAAAGCCTTCATAAAATCTTTCAAGCTTCTTTTACGAAACGCATCGGCCATTGCACGAATCGCCACAATTCGTGGACTCGTGTTGTAGGGAAGAACTTCTTTGGTGGATAGCATCGCCGGAATTTGTTCGGTCTCATTGAGCATGATCTTGCAAAGAATCATATATTTCAATGCTCCCGTTGCATTGACCTTGTCTCCGATGCTTCCGTATCCCTCGAATGCTTCGTAGAAGTAGGAGAAAGACGTTTTGTAGTCTCTCTCTTCAGCTGAGTATAAAACACCGGATTGCATATCAACGGCGGCTTGTAGTTGTGGAGACGCGAATGCCGAGTTGCTACTAGTCTTGGCAGTCAGAAGTGCAGTTTTTGCCTGAAAACTTTTTGATTAAACCCTTTTTTTATTCGTTTTTTTCTCACCTTGCTCAAGTTATTCAGATTAAAAGCACACTTACTCTCCTCGATGGAGACCTCGATAAGCAATTCTCGATCCTCCAATTTTTTCAATTCCTTCGAAAGTTCTTGTCCAAGTTTTTGACCTTCAGTGAATTCACGAACATCGTTATAAAGACGAACGAGACGAGCCTGAAGACTGCGTCGCAGAAACTCTCTTTTATTGGATGTAGCCCATTCGATGCAATTTTTCAGAAGATCAATCTTCTCTTCCTTCTCTTGTTTTCCTTGTTCAACGGTGAGAGCAAACTCAACAATGTCTCTGATCAGTTTACTAGCTCTAGCCTTTCCGACAAGATCGTAGAAGTTTTGAATCGATTTGACGAGAGTTCGGATTCCAGTGATGTCCTTTTCTTTTGCGAGCTGTTTCGCATAGGAAAGAATGAGATCTTCGCATCGCTTAACTTCAGCTTCCGATGATTTTGCATTTCGTGCAGATACTGAAAAAAAGTGAGAATTGTAAACATTTTAGAGTGCTAATTTTTCTCCAACTACCGTAATCTCAAAGGAGCATACTCTCAAACAGTTGTGTGTTTCGACGCGCCTAATATTTTTTCAGCGCGGCAATTCGAAAAAAGACAAGATTGAGACACATTTCTCCGCATTCTCTCGCTTTCTTGGATCGTTTTCTCGCGGATTCTTTCTTGTTTCTATTATGTTCTCGCATATAAAAACAAATCGTCTTTTCTTTATCAATCAATCCATCCGCTTGGCGTCCGAACAACAGCAGCGCTTCTTCTTCTTCACCCAGTCATTTTTCTTCCCCCTTTCTCTTTTCTCCACGGATCTTTTTTCTTTTTTGTTCTAATCTATTTATATATACCTTCGCTTTGTACAGCTTTCAAGGTGACTGGTGTAGACGACATGTCTGCTGGAAAATAGACGGTTCAGAGGTCCTGTGAGCTTGTCACCTGTATAGTAGCCAGCATTTGCCACGTTTTTGCCACGTGGCAGGTCACGTAAAAATTAAAAATTTGTTTAAAATTGCAAAATTTTATTGACACATATTTTTCTTTAAAAAAGTAAGAAAAAAGAGATCATCGATTGAGCATGACATGTCGAGTAGATCGCATTGACGATGGAATAAGATTAGCCTAAAAATTTTAAAATTTTCGAAATATTTTTTTGAAAATTCCAGTAAATTACATCTGTATCGATTTCCTCCTCATCACTACCATTCCATTTGTTCTTCTGTTTATTCTGTAGACAATCATCCTTGGTATTAATCAGCTTACAAGTGCATCCGCGCTTCTTAAATGCGCCACGTGTCCGCGGGGATCCCGGAGACCGAGCTTGATGATAAACGACGGGGTTGAAGCGTCCTGATGACCCCATTAGCTTTTGATCTTCTCTATTCTTCCACCACGTCCATCCCCAGAAGCAGAGGCTCGCAGCAACGGAAACCGACAAAAGTACACTCTCCGAACTACGGATTTCCATTCTAAATTCTCTTTTTTTGTCTTTCTTTCTCGCTTCTTGACTACCTTAAAATATCCATCGAATACAAAAAATTTTAAAAATGATTTTAAAAAATTTTTCGTCAGAGGCCACTCAAAAAAATGAGCACTCCCTGTTCGACGGCCAGCGCGTCTTCTTCGTCTTCTACACCGACGTCACCATCTCCCACGACGTCTTCTACGAATTCTACGAAATTCACGACACCTTTGAATTCTGAGAAACCACTAAAACTGTGTGTCAACGAAGTTCCATGGAAAATGGTGCCCCAGACGTGCGAGGAGTATGAAGAATACGAGTTTTTAGATGACACGAATGGGTAGCATATGAAATTCTGATTTTCAGAAAAATAAAATGAAACTTCAGCCGTCTCTCGGACGCCGAATCGTTCGTATGGAAGTGGTCGCCGTGTGGAAGATATGGAGTCGATATGCCTGTAAGCTGGCTTAAGGTCCCACGACGACAACTACAGTAATCTAAAAATCTCGTTTTTTACTAATTTTCGCCGGAATAATTGTTTTTAGGTTACTGTAGTTTTCGTTGTGGGACCTCCAATTTTTCGTACCAGCATAAAAATCTTTTCAGGGCGGTCGAGAAAACATCAATCAGGAACTGAAAGATCGATTGGCAATGTTCGACCTTCATAACAACTTTTGGACACTTTACACAATTGAAGATGGCGGCATTTTCAAAATTCCGAGAGTTTGTTTTCTCTATTGGGTGACGGACGATATCATTGGAACCGTGTCTCTTGTGGTTAGTTATCTCATAGTGGCCTAACATTTGCAAGTTAAGTCTCCTAGGCCACCATGGTAAGTGGTCTGGAAAACACACCAAGGTAATACCAGGCCATTTCTAGACCCTTTGCCATGGTGGCTTAACTTTAGCACATCGAATTTTCTAGGTCACCGTAGTAAATGGCCTAGAAATAGCCTGATATTCGCTTGTTGTGTTTTCTAGGTCATTTTACCATGGTGGCCTAAAAAACTCCACTAACGAAAGTTAGGCCACCATTCCTAAGTGATCTAGAAAACAAACCAAGTGAATGCTATAACATTTCTATGACATTTATCATAGTGGCCTAGAAAACGCAACATGCAAAAGTTAGGCCGCCATTCTGAAATGGTCTAGAAATGACATGATATGCACCGAGTGTGTTTTTTGGCCGTGTCAGCATGGTGGCCTAACTTTTGCAAGTTGAGATTTCTAGGCCACAACGGTAAATAACCTTTAAATTGTCTGAGATGCGCCTAATGTGTTTTCTAGGGTATATACTATGGTGGCCTAACTCTCGAAAGTTGATTTTTCTAGGCCACCGTAATAAAAGGTCTAGAAAATATACCAGATGGATATCAGGCTATTTATAGGCTATTTACCACGATGGCCTAGCAACCCAACTTGCAAAAGTTAGGCCACCATGCTAAATGAGCTAAAGATACACCTCTTTTTCTTCCAGAAAGGCTACGAACCAGGACCAGACGACGAGATTCGAATGAAATTCAAGCAGGCATTCTACGTGGTTTGTCACTCGACCCAGAAGCTATTCTACGCTGGTTCCTGCCTCTATCGAACTGAAAAAACAATCGTCGCTTCGTATTGGTATCATATTTTCGAAAATCGACACGGTGAACCATTCGTTGATCACAATGGAAACATTTGGTTGGTATTCTCAAATGGATCCGATACGCTGATTCTTCTGCCATTCGTACCGTCGCCAAAAATTAGGGATGCGAAATTTGTGACATTTGATATGAATCAAATTGTCAGTCAGATTATTGGTAGGTGAAAAAATGAAATTTTGTTCTCAGACTTCTAAAAATCATTATTCCAGGCACTCGAGTGTTTCTGGACCCATTCATGTGCGCCCATTACGTTCCGTACGTCTTCCAAAACGAGATCAACTTCTTCATTCGAATCGATAATTTCTCATTTATCGAGGATCACGAACGGGATTATAGTGCTCCAACTACCACTCATGGAGCCAGAGAATCAGCATCCCGGGGTGTCTATCAGCTTCGGATCAATTTGAGAAATGTGATTGAACGAGGAGAGAAGCTCGGCCCAGTAGAAACAAGTTTCACTCGGCAGGATGTCAATTTATCGATTAAACTATTCGAAGACTTTCAAAATGGACACATGTGCATTGCTCAGCATCGGAAAGACGTTGTGATTCATGTTTGGCAGAATAATACTGTAGATATGGTGCTAACGAAGAAGATAAACGCGGTAAGAGTCTGTTTTTCTATTCAGAAAGCACAAGCTCCGGTGTCATGTGGCCTAACTTTCTCAACATTGTTTTTCTAGGCCATCGTAGTTAATGATCCAGAAATGATCTAGCATGCACCTGGTGTGTTTTCCAGGTCATTTAATTTTTTAATTTTAACATAGTGGCCTAACTTTTACAAGTTTATTTACTAGATCGTTTTAAAGGGGGGGGGGGGGACATAAAAAAATAATGTTCTCGAAATTCCGTTTAAAGATGCCCCTCGAGGAGTTGAACTTGTGAGGGCGATGATTGAGGGTGCGGCGCCGCTACCGACTGAGCCACGCGGGCAAAGAGAAAGCGCACGCCCGATTGCATACATAAAGGCGAGGACGGCAGCTGTACGCAGAGTGACATTAAGCGTTGTACACCGTGACGGTAGAATGCATACTCTAGCTACAAAAAAACTACGAAAAATCTCATGTCCCCCCACCTTTAACGTGTTGGCCTAGAAAACACAGCTTGCAAAAGTTAGGCCACTATGTTGAAATCACCTAAAAACGCGGCAAGTGGATATCAGGACATTTCTAGGTCATTTTAGCATAGTGTAACTTTTGTAAGTTAAGTTTTCTAGGCCATCATGGTAGATGACCTTGAAAACACACCAGGTGAATATCAGGTCATTTACCATGATGGCCTAAAAAAATCTACTTGCGAAAGTTAGGCCATCATGATAAAATGGCCGGAGTGAGCCAGGTCAGTGGTTCGAATGCTCCCTCAAAAAAATGTTCCCCTTTTAAATTTTTTTCGAAATTTCATTCGATAATTTTCGGAAATTAGCCGTTTTCGAAAAACACACATTGACCTAGATTAGCATCTTTGAATTTTCAGAGAACCTGCAAACTAGAATCCCGACTCAAATGCTGCAGCCAGAATCCACGGGACGCCTCATTCTGCACGATAGACCTAAAAACTGGCTCGGTTCGAAAATTCGATGCCTTCATTTTAGGGTGATTTGGTTATCTGGCATTTTTTAAATCAAAATCTGAAAATTCTAGAACCGACGTTATTCAAATCCATCCGACCGGATCGCTTTTCATGTTCCGATACAAGGAGATTTATGGTATTTAATTTTTTAGGTTTCTTTCTAAATTGAAATTTTGAATTTTTCCAGCAATGACATTCTGCGAACTTCCATACTTTCCACCGATCTCTCTCGTTCTAAAATGCAAACAAGTGCTCAATAAATGTGTCATCGTGGATCCAGAATGCGAATTCAAACAGTGCTGCCTGAAAAGTCAAGAAGAAGAAGTATACTAATTTGCATGACCGAATAACTGTAATTCCCTATTTTTGAATACTGTAATACTCTAAATTATTTATGTAATTAATAATTCCCCTTTCACCTACACCTAGTGTCCTTTTTTATCTTATTTGATCTGTTTAATAATTTTCCAAAATTCTCTAAAAATTCTCTAGATTTTCTGCCTCCCACTAATATTTGGCATTTTTTAAACGATTTTCTCACCCAATTTTTTCGCTGAAACGATATAAAACTTAATCTGAAATTCATTTTTCGTTGAGAGAGGGCGGAGGCCGGGAGCAAATATATGTTAAAACAGGAATTTTTTGAATGAGCGAAAGAGGGGGAGAAGTAAGGCAATAATTATAAGGCGAAATTGACTTTCTTGGGAAACCCATAACTTGTATAAAGAAGAAATAAATAAGAATGGCATAGAGGGAGAGAAAATAATAAATTTAACATGAAAAAGGATTCCTAGCACGGACACTGGCGTCCTTGGTTGTCTTCCGAGTCTTTTGGCGGGTTCATGATCACGATGTTTGCTGAAAAGTTTCAAATTAGGGAAGTTTTTTTAAAAAGTTCGAAGTTTTCTCGTAGGATTACGGTAGGCGGAAGTGCGCAAACACCGAATATGAAGTTTGTAAATTAGCTTACGCTGCTCTGGAGTCTCCTCTTGAACGATTCCTGGAAGCGCGGTGGCGATTTTGCGGAACAGCTGAAAAGTACCGAACTATGAACGTACAAGAATTTTAGCGTTTGTATTACCTGCTTCACATTGTATCCAGCCTTTGCCGACGTCTCAATGAACATCACATTCAAATCGCGCGCCTTTTTCTCGCCATCCTCAGTTGAGACTTGTCTGAAAAATAAAAAATATGCAAGCTATTCTAAGCTTTTTCCAGGATAAGTCTTCCAATTGGTTGGGAAATTTAGTCGACCGACCGAATTCTTGCTTTTGCGTGTCAACATTCGCAAAATTAAAAAAAAAGGGTCTTCAGATAAAACGCAAACACTCTCTGGCATGTTGACGCGCAAATGCACGAATTCGGTCGGTCGGCCGAATTAACCGACCGAATGGAAGCGCTTAATGCTGTTCTAAACCATTTCCACACCTTTTATCAGCGAGATCCGTTTTGTTTCCAACCAGTACGATGATGACGTCGCATCCACGCTCGTTGCGCACATCGTCCACCCATTTTGTGGTTTGATGGAAAGAATTGGCGTCTGAAGAGTACAACATTCGTAATTTTCAGATATTCAGAAGCCTAGCTTACTAGTAATATCATAAACGACAACGGCGACGCTGGAGTCACGAATGTACGATGGGATAAGCGATCGGAAGCGTTCCTGACCGGCTGTATCCCACAATTGGAGACGGATCTTGAAATTTTAAATTTTTCTGATTTTATAGTTGACGATAAAATACAGTTCTGTCCTCGAGATACATCGTTTTACTGAGGAAATCGATTCCGATCGTTGCCTGATAAGTGTTGTCAAACGAATCGTACATGAATCTGGTGATGATCGACGTTTTTCCGACTAAAAATGTGATATTAGGGATAATTTTAGATGGAATGTTTACAAACCACTCTGCTCTCCAAGGAAAACGAGCTTGAATTTTTTGAGCGCGTTGTTTGTAAAATCGGCCATCTGGAAGGAATAATCGGATGGATTTTGAGAAAGAAGATGGGGAATCGAAGGAAAAAACGGCTTTTTTAGATTTTGCAAGGAAAAATATGAAAGGAAGGCATTCTAGCGAGAGAAAAAAAGGAAAAACTTCGCTTGAAAAGTTTGAAAAATATCGTTCACAGTTGAAATGTATCGGATTTTACGACAAATTGCAGACTTTCCAGTTGGAGTCTGAGCTATTGCGTAGAGTTTGACGATATTTTTTCTTGTGAATTTTGAAGCTTTTTTTGGGTTTCCGGAGGTTAAGAAGACGTCAGAAGCGTGATTTGGTAGAAATTCAAGAAAAATGTGAAAAATCTGAGTTTCAGAGAAATTCAGACGTTGTTGTAGGCCGAAATTTAGAATAAGAATGCGAAAATCCTGAAAATACCGGAGAAGAGTTGTTCAAAATTGACATTTCAAAGAAAATATGGGAGAAAATCGCATGAGAAAATTGAGCTCCCACCAAAATTTCGCCTGCAATTCCAGTTTTTCAGGGATGACCTAAAAAAATTAGGGCTTATGAAATATATGACGTGGAACACGGAAAAATTAGGAATACGCCCATATTTTTCTTATCGAAAATATGAAAAAAAACCACATAGATTACTCATCGACATGTGTACTATTCATCGATTGGTCAGCAGCAGAAGCTGAATTTACAAAAAAAAGAGAGAGAAAAAAGAAGTTGAACTGCTGAACAAAAGGCGAATTGAAAATGGATGAGAATAGGGAAGGACCAAAGCGGCAGGAAGCGCGGAAAACAGAGAAAAAGTACGTGGTGGTTGGACCCATTTGAACGCGGAAGACGCGCGGAGGGAGCAAGAGACCCAGAGAAAGGGTTCATACGTTTTGAAAGTTGTCGATTCAGTTTCAAAAGTACTTGTGGAAAACAGAGGGAAGGACTGGTGGGGACGGCGGCTGTTGCTGTCCCCGGGAAGGGAACAAGAGAGTGTGAAGTAGAAAGGATTTAGAGAAAAATAAAGAGAAAGGACGAGCACACACAGAGAAAGACAATTGATAACATGGTTTATGGAAGAGAGATGATATAAACATTTCGTATGTAGTATACAGTGAGAAAACTATATTTTGTCGAATAGGAACCTTTTTTTTAATCCCCGAGTAGATCAAAACTGATACATTTATTTTAGCATTCTGATGAAGGTTCGTACAAAATTATATTGAAGAATCACTGAAAATTGGTGTTAAATCAGGTTAAAATAAAGAAGAAAACGGCTTCTTGAAAAATGAAAAGAAAAATGTGCATTTTGTCGTGATAGTCTTCGCACAGCTTGCGTACCGTAATCTTTTAATTTTTTCTAAATTTCGGAATTTTTCATCACTCAAAATTCCGAGTAGGAATCCCACGGGGGTACGACGAATTCAAACGTTTTCAAAATCGAACAGATTCAATTCAGAACAGTCCTTTTTTCGCACACGTACCAGAACAGAACGCGGACAGAATCGAACTGTTACAAGTTCGAACTGGTAAGGAGTCGAACTGTCCCAAATTGGAACGCTGCCTGCAACAGAGCGCGCATGAAAGCACACACAAAACAGCTTCTGTTCTGGTACGTGTGCGAAAAAAGGACTGTTCTGAATTGAATCTGTTCGATTTTAGGTCTGTTCGATTTTGAAAACGTTCGAATTCGTCGTACCCCCAATCCCACTTTTCCATCACAAGCCCAAGAAATTAGCAAAAATAGAGTTCGAAAAGCCAAAAAAAAAAAACGAAAAAAAATAATTTCGCTTGATACCCACAAGCAATCTTTTCGTATGCGCCTTTAACATACTGTAGTCCAAAAGTCTATGATTTTGGAAAAAAACACTTCGGAATATTTCTAAAAATCGTCAGAGTTCTCGGAATTCTGCTCCGAAAATCCCAATTCTGAATCAAATTTCGAAAAAGATAAATTTATTCGAATCGAAGAATTGGGGATATGAAGTGAATACATTCAAAAGTGAACAGTGATAAAAAACTAGCGTTTTGGGAATTAAAAAAAAAGAGATTAGAGGTACTGGGATTATTATGATAAAACTTTCAAAAAAAACATAAAGGTGGCTACAATTCTTGGGAATTGTGTGAACGGGAAAATGATAAAAATGGACTATACAATTTGAGTGCTGATTATTTTCTCTTCCTTTTCGCAGCCTTCTTAATAGCGGCAAGTGTTTCAGCCATCGTCGGTTGTGGTGACTTTTCACGAATTACCATGTCGCTTCTACTGAAAATGTTCGAAAAATTAGATTTGAAGAAAAAATCGAAAAACTCACATCGAAGCAAGTTCATGATTCACACGGCTGCGATCATCATTACCAATCTGGATGACGTCGCCATGATTTCGTTGAATTAGTTCTTCCATTTTTTCGAAACGCTGTTCGTACATTGCCTGTTGCTCCATTAACTTTTGTTCGAACATTTCATGTTGATCAATCAGTTTTCTTTCGTACATTTCCTTCTGATCAATCAATATGCGCTCAATTTTAATCAGCCAGTGTGTTAACTGATCGTTATTCAGAGAGATCGGAACGTAACTTAGAGGAACCTCGTCCTCAAGAGTAATTACTTCTGTCTCTGCCGGTGGATTCATTTTTTGAATTTTTGGAGATGGTCCTGCTCCATCAAATGACACTCTCTTCTGAGCGATTGGGGAAGGTTCGGGAGCTTCCAGATGAGTTCTAGAAACCTCATCAATCGCAGATGGCATCCAGTAGCATATGATTCGTCCGGTGTTCAAATCGAGAATTGAGAACTTGGCGAGCTGTCTTATCTCGTTATCTGACTTGATAAACCACTCGATTTCATTATTTTTGATCAGATAACCCTTCTTTGGTGGAATTCGAGATGCTTCTAGAACTTCTTTAACTTCTGGAACCTCTAAAAGTGCCTTGAAATCTGCCTTTGGGAGTGAGACCAATGTGGGCTTGAAACGGGTCACCGATGTGTTTTGAGCCTGAAAAACTTCCTAGAATTTTTGGCTTCTGTAATCGAAGAAAAAACTCACATTCTCATCGATTTTTCGTTTTTGCATATTTGGAAGAGTGCCGATAACAATTTGTCGGACACCAATCGACTGCGAAGGCGATCTGAAAGTGATTTCAATTTTAAAATTCACATTTTTCATGTTTTAACTTACGAGGAACTGTATTCTGACATCGTAGACATTTTGAAGGTTTCTGGAAAAAATAATTGAGGGAATGGAGAAAGGAAAATCAATAAAAAAGAGAGAGAGAGAGAGAGACAGCGCAGGACAGCAGCAACAAATGAGGGGAGTGGGACGTTCGTTCTCAGAGAGCGCATTGAGAACGTCAATAAGTGACACCTGCAGATGAGCGGATTAGATAATTCTGGAAGGATGTCGATTGGTGAAAAACTGACAGACTTGGGAAAGGCAACAACAAAAACTATAAGTGAATCCACTCGAGACCCGCAACAAAACTTTTTAAACAGCGAGCGCCTTTGAAATACCGTATTCCACAAAGCTCTAATTCCGAAATTTCGCGGAAGAAAAGCTTCGGAAATCGTTTTCCAAACATACCCTGTGCAAAATGGCTGAACCTAAACAGCTGCGCACGATTTTACCGCACAGTTTTCAACACATTTTTATGTTCTTGAGCAAACTATGCGGCAAATCCGTGCATACCTTGCAGTTTACGCTTCGCCCATTCTTTCCTGGAAAAAAAACAATGTTTCCTCGGAATCTGCGGGGCCTAAAAAATAATATGTAACACGTGAAAGTACACTCCATTGAATGCCCGGTGTTTTTCGTTAAAAATTACGCTCGAACGCGAATAAACCGTAGTAAGACGATACTACGGTATATTAGCGTTGGTCTCGACGCGAAAGCCTTAAATTTGAGATGCTGGGTTGCTACTCGTCGGTACTCGCTAATAAAACTGTAACATAATAAAACTGAGCATAATAAAACCATACTCAACAGGCCAGGGCCCGGCCCACAAGCCTCGC